GTATTTTAATTGTTTATAGGCTTTTGATTTTTAATTGTGAGCCGCCCAGAGTCACCCATTGCGGGAGATGGGCGGCATACAAATGTAATAATAAATAAATAAATAAATAAATAAATAAAAAATGTGAGAGACTGCTTGTCTCCAATCATTTCTGCCCACCCACTATGTGCCAACACAGTGGGTGTGCTCCACGTCTCCTGCATTAAACTCTGTCACCTTGTGGAACCTAGGAAGTACCCCTTCTTTGTTGCAGCCTCTGAAACAGCGTCGCACAGAGTTACGGATGGTGCCTTCTTTCCTAGGGTTCCAAAAAGCTTTGAAAACCTGGCTTTGGTCCCAGGTCTGGGGTTCATGATTTATTTAAGGCCACTGTTTTGTTTTGTGGATTTTGTTGTTTATTAGATTGTTTTAGTCTAGGCTGTCTGATTTTATATTTTTAGCTGTTTTTATGTTTTTTCTAGTTTGTAAACTGCCCAGAGTCCACTGGAGTTTGGCAACCAATACATTTAAATAAATAAATAAAATAACTCCCAGAATTTCCCAGCCAGCATAGGGAAGTCCACACATCTTAAAGTTGCCAAGGTTGAGAAACACTGAACTAAATAATAGTTCGAAGATTACAATATTGTCAGTTGGTGTTACAGGTTAATCCTTTTAACTCTGCAACAAAAAAGAAGTGGAGGAAAATTGGTCAATAAGCTTAGGAATACTAAAAAAAATCTAATTTGACTACAGGTAGTCCCCAGATTAAGAACAAGTTCTGTTTCAAGGTCTGTCCTTAACTTGAATTTGTATGTGAGCCAGAACAATATTATTGTACAATACTGTATAAGTAGTATTGTTTAATGAATTTGAACCATTGTGTATTTAACATGAATCGTTGTGTATTTAACTTGAATTTTGCTACAGTAGGCTTCGTTCTTAATAATGGGTCGTCTGTAAACCAGGTGTTCTTAACCTGGGAACTACCTGTATTGTGATGGAGTCAACATTTGAAAAAGTTTTATTATTCTCCCCCAAGTTGGTCCTGACCCCTTGGAGTGGTCACAGTTTAAGAATCCCAGGGATTGATTAAATTCTTACAAGACAGAAAATGCCATTTACTAAGGTGTAGGGGGTTAGGTATTCAAATTCAAGATTGTCCTAAGAGTATTGAAAGATGAATTTGCCATATTCTATCTATTTCCTTGACAAGAGATGGAATGATCTCTTCTTTGGATGAATGACTTATATAGACCTAGGACAAGGAAAACTGATCTTTACCTTCTAAATACATTTTCCTGATTACTCACCCATAGTCAACAGAAGCAGTGAGTTGGCATTGCCCTTTCATGGCATTTTTCACAGGGGTCCATGTGCAAATGACAGTCTCAAATGAGTCATATAAACAGTCCAGATTTGAGGATTCTGTTAGTGGAGAGGTGAAAATCTGTTGTGACATTTCATTCTGTGTTACGTGAAACACGCTGCACCGGGCAGTTCTGCTAAGCAGGCAAAAGAAGGCTTATTCCTTAATTTTTTTCTTTTTAGTGGGTGAGAAGATTTGGATATTGGAAAACCTACTATGCACTTGGCCAGTTATAGGGGAAAACTTTATGAAAGAAATCTTCATGATGTCATAGGGTAGTTTTCTATCACTGATGTGTGAGCAACCATGTCACCCTTTACTATTTTTCTTCTAAACTGGTCTGAGATGTTGATTTCAATAACAAATTATATAAACTGTTTCTGGCACTTAGTCTGCTTTTTCCTCATGGAAACCTCACACCCAAGCTAACTCCTCCTTCTATTCCTGCCTGAGAAGGCAGACAAATGGGTAAAAATACTATCATCATGGAAGAAATTATGCCTACAAAGGGAAGAGCTCATCAATTGCATCTTTACTCAGGGATCCCTTTACAAAATTCCAGATGGCTGAGCGCTGGGCGCTGGAGACCTCTTAGGTGAACCATTGTACCTGCAGTATATAGAATATCCAATACTTTTTCTGGTTGTATTCTGCATTGGAAAATTGAGATCTCATGGGCACAACATGAAAACCACTAAATTAGCATTTGTCCCTGACACAGCTCTAAGTGTTCATTCTGAAATATACAGAGAAATCAAACTTACTCTGCCTGGCTCCTGATGCCTGGAAGAATGAAATAATGTAGAGCAGTCTGAGCAGGCTGGTTTCCATAACCACAGATTTGGAAGACTAAGGGAAAAAAAGAAGCAATCTCAATGGAATCCCCACTGCAAATGTGTGCATGTATCAGTTCACTCACACTCACTCACTCATCCATTCATTCATCCATTCATTCTGTGGAAAAGGCATCTCTCTTTGCAATTTGATTTTCATTAGTGAGGTCATTCTGTTGATCCTGTCTGATATCTCTACAGCTTTGATAGCCTCAATATGACATCTTCCTGGACTGTCTTCATGAGTTGGGAGGTAGTTCTGGTCCTACTTGCAGGAATGATATGAGAAAGTAATAATGAGTAATTATGCCTTTGGATTCTGGCAACTACACTGTGGTGTTCCACAAGGCTATTTTGTCCTCAGTGCTATTTATTATCTCTATGAAGCTGCTGAGGGAGGTTATCAAGAATTTTTGGGCTGGGTATCATCAACATGCTTGCTCTACTCATCTCTATTTCTTCACAAGATCTGAATCAGTGCCTGTATGAATTGATGGAGAAAATGTAGGTCAATAAACTGAAACTTAATGTTGACAAGATGGAGAACTTGTGGATAGGAGATGAAAAGCTTGCTTATTCTCAGTGGGGTCACTCTGTCTTGGAAATGTTAGATAGAAGATTATTGAATTTGAATGCATGTAGTGTAATCAATGTAATTGGATGTCTAAGTGACCTTTATGGTGAGAAGCACCAATGAGAAGCTCAGCTAAGCTGTTTCCCACGCAGGAACCGCTGAGTTATTATTGTCCATGCACAAGTAACCTCATGCTTATATTATCGTGACATGCTTTATATGGGGCTACCTTTGCGCTTGGTTTGGAAACTGAGCTGGTGCAGAATGGGATGCATGCACATCCATGGGAGCAGGTTCATTGCTATAATTAGCTACCAAGCCAGGTTAATCATTTTACATGTGGTGTATAAAGCATTCACCATTATCGACCTCAATCACTGAGACTTTCAGGAGACATCCAACTGCCTGTGCCTAGAACCACAAAATGCCACATTGCAGTCATTGCATGGAGGCTTCTTCTGTAATGATGGCTGTATTCTGGAATGTTCTCTCCCACAAACATCATTAGGCACCTCCTGTTACACCCTTTTGAAGATTTACCACTTCACCCAGGCCTTCCTACATGAACGTGGAATAAATGGTGTTTGTTTTGTTTGGCTTTGTTTTCCTTTCCCACACCTCTCGTTCTCTTGTCTTTCTTTAAAAGAAGCTAACATTTTATCATGCATTTTATATTTTATAATACCTGAGATTTGTTTATATAGGAAGAACCATATCCACTACGTGGTTCCTAAAAAAACATAGGTGAGACTGTGTAACTGGAGACCTTCACAGGATACCTCTAGGCCTCAAAATGCCATCCACGTGTGCTTGCCAGGACACAGACACTCTGTTCTGTCTGGTTTTTCATCTGATTTACGTTATTTTACTGTAAGCACTAATTGGGAAGCCGACATGCTGCCAGACAAAGCACCAGCCTTCAAGATCAACTTTATTTCCAAGAATGCCTCTGGATACTACATGGACTGTGTAATTATTACATATGGGCTCACTGGCATTTTTGGAAAATAAAACTGTTGAGTAATTGCAGCCTAATTCTTCTGCCTACCTGTTCAGGAATTGGTGGGAGAATTGTTGTCGGAAGCAGTTTTGGAAGGCTAGAGGGGTGATGGAGAGCAAACTTACTTACTGGTGAGTTGTTGTTTTGTGAATGGCTACGCCCACCATGATAGCCGTTTTGTAAATGGACAAACCTCTCAATGGCAGCCATTTTATAAGTGCATCCAAGTTGCGCTCAAAATTCCTAATTTATTTATGTATTTGTCTCACAATACGTATAAACCTTCTCAATCCTCAAGGACTCTGGCCAGCATACAAGTGTACTCACAGCTAAAAAAATGTCAGGGGACTTGGTCATAAAGTATCATGAAGTCTCTTGTTCAGATGTTTTCTCCTGATCAGGAATATTTAAAAAAATATGCTACTCCACTGACTTTGCAAAAGTTCAATGGATTTCATTTGCTGGGTCATTGTAAAAGTTCATTGTATTTCATTTCAGTCAGTATTCTAATTACTCTGACATTTATACTTTAAGTGGAAATTTTCTCAAAATGAATTATTCTTCTTTAAGTAGAAGCTTTCTCAAAATGAATGGATTGTGCACACGACTCAGAGTTCTTTGGGTAGCTGAGTATCGTTTTGACACCCAAGACTTCTTCAGAGCAGTTTTTATGTCATCGTCAACAACATGTGCATAGGGAAACAAAGTGTCTTTTTATGATAGAGTAACAGGATTCTGGAATTAAGAAGAGGGAGAAGCTGATTCTCTTTCATGGATTTTGAGATTAGTCTAGCTACTAGTTTCAGAACAAAACTGTGTGCTAGATCTAACAAAAAAGGTTTATCTAATCTATAGTAGTGACCCCAGAAGTGATCAGTCAGATACCTTGTTTTATTTGCCCCAAAGGTGCTGTTTGTTGCAAACAGGACATATAGAGACTAAAAACAGTCAGGAGAGAACAATTTTCAACAGAAAACCAGGGAAGGACCCTAAAATGAAATGGAGAACATCAAGAACATTAAAACATAAGAATATACCTTCTGGATCAGGCCAATACTCACCTTATTCAGCATTTTGTTTCTCACAATGACCAACTAGATGTCTCTGGGTTGCTCACAAAAAGGAGGTAGAGATAGATACCTCTATTGCTGTTCCTCTGCAAGTGGCATTCAGGGATACACTGCCCCCAGCCCATAGGTAATACTGAGTCTCAAAACTAACATCCCTTGATAACAGCCCTTTCCTCCATGAATTTATCCAATCCTCTTTAAAAGCCATTCAGGTTAGTGAGCTGCTATTAAGGAGATCCAGATTCAAGGCCACCCTCAGCCATGTAAATTCACTGAGTGGCTTTGGTTCAATCAGTCTCTCTCAACCCAACTTCCCTCACAGGGATTTGTTGGGGGAGGAATGGAGGATGGAGCACTATGTGTACTACCTTTTGCTCCTGAACCCAGGACAGGTTAAAAATCAATCAAACATATAAACAAATAAAGCATGTTCACAGTGTTCACTCATTTGGGATTGCATAGCATTTGTGGAGTCTCTAGTTAACAAATTCCAATTCTTAATCCTGTTTCTTTAAGAACTTTGAGGGAAGGAAGAAGTTGTAAAATGTAATGCCCGAAATCTGCAAGATTAAAAGTTTGCTTTAAGATAACCTCTCTTAAGCTACCACATTTAACACATGTATCCATTACCTGGTTTTATGATAGTCTTCTTTCCCTTCTAGTCTCATGAGTCAGGTTGGAAGTGCAGTGCTGTTGATCCTGGTCTTTGGTTTGACGTCCCTGTGAGAATTGCAGCTGCTGGATTACTAGCCTATATATATGATAGCATCAGAAAGGAGAATGTTCTGATGCTCACACATAGTCTTAGCCCTTACCTTCACACAGGAAGCATCAGCTCCTTTGCTGTGTCAGAATGAGATGAGGCCCCAAAGTATAAATAGGACTTAAAAGGATGACAGTCAGAAAGCCCCAGACCACATCACAGCCCACTTCCTGATTTGTAAAGTGAGAGAATAGAGGTCTGATATCAAAGCTACTATTCAAGATGAAATGACCGCAGAAGCATAGACATCCATCAGCATAATAATTGACCAGAAGTCAATAGATAGAGTGGATTTAAAAATAGGAATCTGGACCACAAAATTAAAAAAAAAAATACAAGTCAATTTTATTCATGACCTGAATAATGCATTGATGCACAGGAATGCATATGAGCATTCCTTATTCCTACCATATTATGTAATTTATGCAGCCCATATCATTGTGGCCACAAGAGGTGGCAGGTTTCCAAAGGACAATGGCTCATGATTAAACCTGTGTAGCAGTAGGACGTAGCCAGGGTTCCAGTTTTCAGTTTGATTCAAGATTTCAGTGATGGAGCAGAGAGACATTGATCAATCGCCTGAACTGTCTTCATATACTGTAGATCATAGATGTAGTCTGACAGGGCATCACCTGTGACCTCCCCTTCCTGCAATCTCTAGATTATGTTGCCATTAACAGTTCCATGCTACATGCCACCTCTCTCTGCCTTGTTTGGCCAAATAGTATGTGGGAATGACCTTGGGAGACAGGAGGAAGGGCCTCAGCCTAGACAACTGTCATGCAAAAGGTATCTCAGCCCACAGAAGGAAAAGGGGCATGGGAAGCATTTCAGAAGGGATCCTCCCTAGCTTTCTGGAAAATAAAAATAAAGGAAGGGAGAAGTGCTTTCAGATTTGCAAGATTCTGTTACTGTAACCTTATAATAAAGGTAGTATTAGTACCTAGTATCATGGTTTGTGCTTCTTGTCTAGATTACCCTGAAGGGCTGACAGTATATGAGATGTATGTGTATGTCAGAGAAGAATGTGCATGACAGTATGACTTTGGAAGGAGGGGCAAGCTTAACCATATTTCTTATTTTAAACATGGGAGGAGATCACTGTAAGTATGTACGTTAAACTTAGGTAGTTGTCTAGTGCAACTCATTAAAAAGTAATAATATTAATTTAATGTTGATCTCTTCTACCCAAATATGACCCCACTCTCTTTCTCTCTCTCTCTTTTTTAAATATTTTATTGGGGTTTTAAAATTACAAAGTTAAAAG